AGCTGTGTCCAGGATAGGAGTTAGAAGTCGGCACTTTACTCAATTATATACTGTATACCAGAATCACATAGCATGGTAGCATGGTTTATGCCATGGGAAACTTTAATTACAACAGCCATAGGATACTGAGAGTTATGCAAGAGAAGAGTCTGGAAGATATTTTGGCATAGGTGGAGGGAACAGCTTTGGTTTGTGAGTTCTGTTACTCTGAGATACGACAGAGGTCATCTGATACGCTGGTCACTTTAATCACATAGCAGCCTTACCCTCTTACTCCATCCCCACATTGTGAGAAATCAATAAGAAATTAGAAAGCTACAAACAAGTTTCCAGGCAAGCTGGTTCAGGGATTTGGGATGTGTGTTGTTTGGTTTTGTAAACCCCACCCCCCCATCTTTAAGTTTAATCTGCAAAATCACATGGTTAATCTATCTAAGATTTCTTAGATGAAATAACCTAAATGTAGAATTCATTGCTTATGTTGACCTAAAGTGCATAATAACTAACAAAAATGATTGAGGTGCAGCATTTGTTGATGGGAAAGCCATTGCTTCTGAAATCGATTGAAATGAATGCTAAGCACTTCCAACTCAAGCTCTCAGAGTCAAAATTATCTCACCAAACCTAATATTTTCTCAGAAACAAATAGCTGGAGAAAATAATAGAACCATCTCACACTCTGAAGAAATTAAAGCAGTGCTAAGTTGAGGTTTTAGTGCATGGAGAGTACTTTCAAAGCACACCCAGGGCCTCCCACCAGAACATCCTCACAATGGCTGGTTTTCGACAGCCAGCAGCCTCCTGAGCTGACCTAGCAGGCAGTATGCCACCCTGAAAAGAACATTCTCAAAAGTCAGGATACCTTCAAAGGTGCCTGGTTTTCAAAGGCATATTTTGTGTTTATGAAATTGTACTTTTTTCTTTATCATTCTCCAACAACAATGTCATAAAACTGAAAGGTGGGGCCAGTAGGTGTGATAAAGGTTAAGGCAGGTGGATCCTACATGGCTCACTGTGTGGTTTGAGTCCTGGACCCAGCAGCTGGAAAAACATGCTGGGTGCATGCATGCCCAAAATCCCAACAGGAGAATGGAAGAGAAGGAATTGCAGCATGGCAATCTCCCCTAGAGAGTGATTTCTCATTTTCTCTTCACTTTCTCTTTCTCTCTCTCTCTCTCTCCCTCTCTCTCTTTCTTGTTAGTGCATACACTCTATAGAAAACAATCAAACAAACATCTGCGGGTGGGGAATGTAGTCCTATCCCTGCTTGGTTTTCAGGTGTGCGGGCAAATTGTGTCTACCTATCAACATCAGTAGGCACCAACTTTTAAGCTATAGGTAAGCTGTAAAAATCACCCTAAGTTTCCACTTGCTTAGCAAGAAATAAACTCATGCACGGACTGCAACATCCTCCTTGGAGCTGATACTTCTCAGCCTCTAAAGACAATTCTGAGCAAAAAATCATTCTAAGTGTAAAAAGAAGCCTGTGCACAGTCCCACCTGGCCAGGTCAGCTCACAAGTCCATCACACAATGGAGCAGACTGTGGTCTGAGTGTCACCATATCATTCAGAGAGCCCACAAAAGGATGTTACTGAACAGGGGTCAAGAAAGTGCTGCAACTAGAGTAGACATCCTAATCCACAGAAGATATTTCCCAAGAATCCCAGTAAGTACCTGTAATTAACCTCTCCTGTATCCTATGTTATTTTGATCTGATAATTGAAGCTACTCATAATTGAGTAACTCATAGGCAGGTAGTGAATACAGTGAGGGTAAGAGAGACCAATGGATGCTTCATTTTCTGGGCAGGACAGAGCAGGGCAATATGCAATTATATCATGTTCCAATGAAAGATGCACCCTTTAAATCACATGAATTGTTTATTTCTGATATTTTCCATTTAATATTTTTGGACCATAGCTGACCATAAATTAACTGAAACCATAAAAAGCTAAATTGCAGATGAAGGGAAACTACTGTATTAAGTTTCTACTAATAAAAAATCACCTTTATAGCAACAACACAGATGAGGCAAATCTGATGTTCCAGGGTAGAAGCGTATCTCAAATAATTATCGAATTATGCAACCTCAGTAAACCAACAACTTCTGTTTCAGCCTGCTTCTTCACCTATAAAGTAGTACCTGTAATAATCATCCTCCAGGTTTACTTTAGGACTAAGAGACTAGTGAAGTCTAGGTTCTGGGCACAGCTCAGTGAAAGGCTCCACTCACAGGGCAGCAGGTGTGGTGGTTATGGAGCTGGACTCCCACACATGCTAGACCATGGTTCAAGTTCTGGATCTGGTGTCTTGAAACTAATGCTGTACATGTGTGCATGCATGCCCAAAATCCCAAGAGGAGATGGAGTAAAAGGGACTGTGGCCTGGCCATACCCCCAGGGTAATTTATCACTTTTTCTCTTACTATCTCTGTAACGAGCACACATGCCCTGTGGCAAAAACCTTAAGAAAGAGGAAGAAAGAAAAAGAAAAAGAAAGAGAAAGAAGGAAGAAAAAGGAAGAAAGAGAGAGAGAAAAGAAAAAGAAAGAAAGGAAGAGAAAGAAGAAGAAAGAAAGAAAAAGAAAGAAAGAAAGAAAGAAAGAAAGAAAGAAAGAAAGAAGGAAGGAAGGAAGGAAGGAAGGAAGGAAGGAAGGAAGGAAGGAAGAGAAAGTCTCCATTCATTACTATAATTATCAGAGAAATATGTAGTAAACCTGAAAGCACAGAATCCCAGAAGCATCCTCACCGGAAAAAGGGCAATCTGGACTTGGCAGGCCAGGCAGTAATACAGAACTGAGAGTTTCTAAGTAGAACAGTGGTCTAGGACGGCCAGTCCTAAAAAAGTAAATTACCTCTGAATCCATCCATCACCTGCAGTTAGCAAATGATGATTTTGCTAAATTTACATGAGATCATTTTTTTGGCAAAAGAAAAACAGCATTACAGATATAAATAAAGTCATCCACTGGCCCTTTATACCATTCATCTCCTTTCTTTCCTATGGACATTATTCAGGTCTTCATTCATGTCCCTTGAGTTTTACCATATATATGTGATTACATGAATAATATATTGGTGTTCCTATTATTATTATTATTATTAATCTACTCTATGAATTATTTTGCAAGTTGGCTTTATCATCTATTACATTACTTAGACTCGTCTACACCGAAGCATCTAAAACTAGTCCATAAGATGCAAGTACTATGTTGTATTCTACAGCATGACTATACCACAATGTATTTACCATTCTTCCAACTGTGGGAATGTAGGCCCTTTCTAAGCTTGCAGTTTTGCAGAAATATGCTGTAGCAACCGTCTTTGTTCATCTCTGCTTCACTTTATGTGGGTTTCTGTAAAATATATTCATAGCAGCAGAATCCCTGATTAGTGTGTACTTCTTTATTTTTACTGGAAGCTCTGAAAATGCATCCAAAGAAGCTTTACTTATTGTTCATACCACCAATCCATAGTGTATATCTTCAAAAACACTTGGGGAACCAGCAGATGACATAATGATGACATCGCTGAACTCCCATGTAGTAAACCACGGTTCAAGTCCTGGACCTGGCAGCTAAAAATTCACACCAGGTGTGTGTGCACGTGTGCCAAAAATTCCAAGAGGAGAATAAAGAAGAATGGATTACGGTGTAGCCATTCCCCCTGGGGGAGGGGTGATTTCTCGCTTTCTGTCTCTGTCTCTCCGTCTTTCCTGCAAGTGCACACACCCTATAACAAAAATCTCAAAAAAAAAAAAATAAAAAAATAAAACAAAACACTTGGACATTGTTAGTCTTATTTAAATATTTGCCTATTTGATTAACATAGCAGCAATCAAGGAAGTAGAAGCGTCCCTGCTGTCACATAGGGAGTGTGGGCAGTGCCTTATAGCTGAGCCAAGCCCTGAGTGCCTGGAACAACCCCAACACATCCATTTAGACCCACGATCAGTTTTAAATGGCAATGTCAGATGCCAGAATAAGGAAGACTTGGATGTACAGGTTGCTCGGTAGTTCAGTACAGACTGCTCAGGTGCTCCAGGTAATTCTGTTAGTGAAGCCTGGGAAGTAGATTTCAGACACAGCAAAAGTCACATCCCAGCACCGTGGCTTCTGACAGAGTCGAGTGGCTTGTTCATCTGGAAAGGGGCTGGAAAACACTCTCTGTAGAGCCAAGAGGTGAGGAGCTTAGACCCTGGGGCCACTTGATCATTGTCACAATAACTCAGCTTCTCAGTGTTGTCACTGCAACATGTAAACTAATGGCGTGCTTGCCTCTAAAACACTTAACAAAACAGGAGCGCCAGGCACTCAGGGGGAAGGCTAAGAGCCTCCACCCGCTAGGCTGCTGTGCTTCACAGGGTCAGTTCCCAGCCTCTCATTTCACCCCTCAGATCCCAGAACACACCAGCCCTTCTCCTCTCAGGCTGCGAAGAAGGAGGTGGGATTGGAAAAGCTTTATTTGTGGCTGGAGATCGAAGAGCATGACACCAGCAGGCCTGCATTCTCTAGTGCTGGAGAGATCAGTAATGCCCACCTCCACCCCCCCACTGCCCACACCTGGCAGCAAGAAGGAAGGAATCCTACAGAAAAAAAGTCCTCTCTGACCTTTGATGTTGCCCAAAACACACAGAAAGGAAGAGCCACTTGTGTGTTTAGGGTTGGGGGGTAGTGTTGGCAGAGAATGGGGCAGGGTACCTCAGCCAGGATTTCACAACACAGACTCAGAGCAGTGAAGGGGATTCCAGAAGGCACCTCCTCAAGTGCAGCTCCCCAGGAACTACTCAAAGATGCCACTCCCTCCTACGGCAGTCGGTCCCTTCAAGTCCCTTGCAGGCACATCGTCACACACATGTCACAGGCATGGTTTGTGGTGCTGACCACAAGGGCTTTTACATGTGTGGGTTTCCAGGTGCAGTGTGGTCATTAGTAAGCCATCGGTCAGTGGTGGTGACCTGCCAGTGCCCTGAGTCATGACTAATCTGTTTTCACCTCCAGGTACCAGCAGTGCAGAAGTGAAGGAAAATCGCAATGTGAGCAACCTGGGGACAAGGCCCCCACCTCCTGGGGACCGGGCGAGAGGCAGCACAACCAGCATTAAAAGGAAAAGGCCCCTGGAGGAAGGGAACGGGGCCCACTTCTGCAAACTGCAACTCATCTGGAAGAAGCTCTCCTGGTCGGTAACGCCCAAGAACGCTCTGGTGCAGCTGCACGAGCTAAAGCCCGGCCTGCAGTACCGGATGGTGTCTCAGACCGGACCCGTGCATGCCCCGGTTTTCGCTGTGGCGGTGGAGGTAAACGGGCTCACGTTCGAGGGCACTGGGCCCACCAAGAAGAAAGCCAAGATGCGGGCCGCAGAGCTGGCGCTCAAGTCCTTCGTGCAGTTCCCCAACGCATGCCAGGCGCACCTGGCCATGGGCAGTGGCGTCAGCCCCTGCACAGACTTTACCTCCGACCAGGCAGACTTCCCCGACACACTGTTCAAGGAGTTCGAGCCGCCCGCACCCAGCGAGGGCTTCCCAGGTTGCCACCCCGTGGACTCTGAGCTGCTCTCCACTGCCTACCGGCGTGGGCGGCTGCTCTACCGCACACTGGACCTCATGGGCCAGACTCGGCCAGACAGGCCCAGGCCGGTGCCCATGGTCCCAGGTGAGAGGAACCCGGTGGTGGTGTTGAATGAGCTGCGCTCTGGCCTGCGCTACGTGTGCCTAGCGGAGCCGGCTGAGAAACCACGTGCCAGGAGCTTTGTCATGGCCGTGTGTGTGGACGGGAGGACGTTTGAAGGCTCCGGACGCAGCAAGAAGGTGGCCAAGGGCCAGGCAGCCCAGGCGGCCCTCCAGGCCCTGTTCGACATCCGGCTACCCGGCCACACCCCCAGCAGGAGTAAAAGTTTCCTCTTGCCACAGGTGAGAATCTCAGGTGGAGGCTGCTGGGATGGAAGTGCGCTGGGGTCGCTGTCACTGTGCGGGCGTGGGCTGACTCCTCTCCTCCAGGGGCTGCGAGCAGGGTGCGGCCTGCATGCCCTCACTTTCCTGAAAAGGCCCTTTTCCTATCCTTACTAAGAGCAATTTCCAGGCTTTCTGGAGAGAGAATCACGTGACTGTAAAGAAAAGAGAGAAAATGTCAAACTCCAACTTAGCAGAGGTAATGGGAGAATTCACAGAGCTGGTCATTTTTACAAGGTCAATATTACCAACAAGAAAGGACAGTGAGAGTGAAGGAAAGTGCAAGGGCCCTTCTGTCCCCGTTGTGCGGTCACACTTCAGGAAGATGAGCCTCTTTATTTGCCTGACGCCCCAGTACCTTGGTCTCCAAGCAATAAGCAGCCAGAAGAAAGGGGCAGCAGGCAAAATGTGGGGAGGAACATTTGGGTTGAGCTTCTTTCTAGCCAGGCTGGAGGACAAGCAAAAGAGAATCGTCCCTTGGGAGGCCTGTGCCTCTGCTGTCCCCGTCTGAGCCAGAAGGGGGCGCCCAAGCAGGACCCAGAAAGAAGCAGAGGGGAAAACTCACTAAAAAACAGCCCCAGAGAGAATAGGGATTGTAATCTGGCTTTAAGAACCAACGTGATCACTTCTCAGTCCTTTTTCCTGAGCATTCGAAGGTCTCCTTTCTTGCATGAGTTTACCTTTATTCACTCAAGAAACATTTTTTTAGCACTGCCTAAGTGTCAGGGACTATTCTCATTCCCTTTTAAAACAACCTTATCCCGCCAAGTCTTGTAATTGCTTATTTATGCAAATTATCTTTTCTCTTATCAACTTGAAAATTATTTGTGGGCATCACTAATGTAGAAGATACAGAAAATTATCTGTATTCACTTTTGTCATCAATCAAGGGAAGAAACATTTCACATAGTTAAAAAGCACTTAGCCCGGTATGGGATTTATCGTTGAGTACTCAATAATTGTAAGTTTTAACTGTGATGGCCACCATCATTACATCATAACACCTAGAATAGAATCCACCATTTGGTCTCAGGAGATGATAAATCTGCCCAAGAAGGCAGGATCCCACCAAAAACACTGCTCCAATACGCTGCATCACGACACAAAGAAAGCGCACAGGCTGATACCTCATTCTGAATCATGACTGGGTTCCAGAACTCATTCGTTCAGTCAGTCAGTCAATATTTACTTGGCTCTTAGCAGGCATAGGGCAGACAATGGGCAAAGCAGGCAGGATTCTGTTTCTGAGAAACCTGGACAAATGAGGGAGAGAGATATAAACCGGGAGTTCCAACCTAGGGTGTTCCTCCTGCCATCTCTACACTCGGTTTGTTGATGTATTTTTAAGTTTTTATTGAATGTCCAGTGATTGTTCTAAGAGAACAGGGAGCAGGTTGGGGGGGGAGGGGAATTTAAAGCATAACCTCCATCAGTTTTGCTTTTCATAAATAAACATACAACCTAATAAAAATGGAGTGGTGGGAAAGGAAGGACAGCTTCTAGACTGCTCATCTCCTAATGGGATATTCTAGAAGCCTTGGTTTGTTTGGTTTTTTTTTCTTTTTCATGCTGTATCTTCTTTATTTTCCTCCCTTTCCTGTCTCTCCCAATCTGCTGGGAGCTGAAACCTGCCAACAGCAACCAGGGAAGTTTCTTTAAACTCTGCAGCCTGGAGGGCGCAGAGTGACAGACCCTCCTTAGGCTGCCCTTGACCTTTAACATGGCCTTGGTCACTTGCTGCTTTGCCACTTTCTCTGTTTCAGTCTCCAGCCCGATGCCGCCTTGGCCGCCCTTAGCCAGGCCTGGCATTTTTCTGTTCAGTCGGAAATAGCCTTTCTCTCACTCTCCCTGTCTCGCTCTCTGCTTCCCGCTCCTATGAAATTTGAAGGATGTCAGTGAACTCTGGATGCGATGCTTTTTTCTTTCATGTTGTCAGCCCTGAGCTCTCACGATGGAGAAACCAGGCAGCTACTACTTTGTAATAGTCATTTGACCCCAGAACGCAGCACATCAGTTAAAGCCACGGCCGCGAAATTATTTTTCCCTGACAGTCCGTTAACCACTCCGACTGGATGATGAAGGGCAGGGAGCAGCGCCAGGGTTCTGGGCCATTCATCACACCACAGCATGGCACCCCCTCCCCCGGGGGCTCATTATCCTCTCCCCTGTCCTCCTGGTGATGTGCACCCCATGGCCGGGTGGGGGGCTGAAGAGGACACTAGGACTCAGGACTCGGAACCATCAGCATTTTATAAAATTAGAATCCTATCTTGGATGTGGACAGGATTCAGGAGAGAGAAAAAAAAAAAGAAAAACAGAAGATTACAAAATGCACTGCAAATGCTGTTTTGCCTTCATGCTGTGTTCTCCCTCTCCTCCCAAAACCTGTCTGTCTGTACATCATGGATGACTCCCCTCCTCCGATCTGTGCAACATATGCCTTCTCCTCTGGGTTTTAATTGGTCCTTCTTTGCTAGCCTATTATGCATTATGAATCCCCATCTGCACACTGTGGATCTCCCATCATGGAGATCCTGTGTGTAAAACACACACATAATGTATCTGTTCTATACATCCTGGGCCCCCTGTCTATACATCATGGTGCTTCTCCCCATCTACACATCATGGATCCTCATCTACACCTCACCTGGGCCCCCTGTCTATACATCATGGCTCCCCATCTACACCTCATAGTCCCTATCTACACATCATGGATCCCCCATCTACACATCATGGATCCTCATCTACACCTCACCTGGGCCCCCTGTCTATACATCATGGCTCCCC